GCCCCGACACACCACTCCCTTCCGAACGCTCTGGTTTACGCCCTTGGCTCGCCCCTCTCTCAACGTGTATACAGGCACCTCCCCACCCACCTCGGAGATTACGCATGGCAAGCGAAACCTTAATGTAAGGGAAGCAACAACCGGAAGAGAGACCCGAGTCGCTGGTCGAACACAGAAAAGAGATAATGTTCGTTCGTGACGTAACGCGGGTCACCGATCCCATCGCTGCCTTCTACACCAGCTGTGCAGCCACCTTCACGCTGCTGTCGGGGCGACTCAAGACTACTCACATTTCCCTTGCGGCAGTGACCTATGGGAACATTTCGTATCCGAGTGAGGTCAACAATCCTGTGCATCTCAACACATTTTCTACTATTTTTATCCACGCGTCGACCAAATTCCCCGACGGGATCAGTCATCTCATTAGCGTCTCCCGAAAGTCCTACCAACGCCTCGCTATTTTTCGCTTTCTTGAACAAAAAGCCTTTCTTGAAGAATGTAAAAATGCGTCGAGCACAGTGACGCCTGGAGCCGCTAACCAGGATCTGGCAGTTCCCTCCCTTCCCCCCTCGCCCTCTGCACCGCACCTGTCGGCGATTTCCTCCTCTACCTCCCTCTCCTCTCCCACTCCCGCCTTCCATCTTGTCATCTCCACTCAAGTGCCGCCCGTCTCCTTTCTCCTCTTGACTGTTAACAATTAGTTGGATGAGGCAGCACACATATTATCGCCGCTTCCAGGGTAATGTACGGTGGCCGCCCGGCATACACGATGATGTCCCATCTGCTGTTCGTAAAACGACGTCACAACAATCTAGCTTTAGGCAGGCTTGGAGGAAAGTTGTCTCTTTTCAAAGGTAGAAAAAATATGAAGTTGCTTTACACTAGTAAGTTGTGAAATGACCATTGTGGAATTACCCTTTTCACTACTCGAATCTATCCGACTTTAGGCAGAGACCAATAACAAAGCTAAGCCCACCAACAACATTCTAACTCACAAGTATGTTTGAAATGCTCTAAGGCTTGGCAGTCTGTCTCCTCTTTGCTTTCTCTTCCTTCTCCAGAGACATCGCATCATTCCAACAAACAACATTTGCGACAAGACAGACGAGAGATAAAGCCTACTTCAACGTGCGTCGGCATGAGAGCGGGGGGGGGGGGGGGGGGGTGGACTCTCGTGAGCGAAGAAGGATAAAGAAAGCGCTATTCACCGGAGGAACCGAGCTCAGATCCCATTCATGGGCGGAGTACGTGAACGAACTGAATGAAATGTATCTACAAATTCTGATTTGCTGATCTTGTTAAGGGCTGTCCCGAGACGGAATGAAGGAAGAGTCAGCATCGGACATTCATGACTCATCGTAATTTCCGCCTCATCAAAACGCACAAAATACTGGGTGATGGCGCTGAGAGGCGAAGATGCAGATGGGAATAGCATAAAGACTGATTAAGGAGAAAAAAGTTCTGTGAAGAAAATGGTGCACACAATGTAAGTTGGTACGTGTCTTGATTTGGCGGCCTGGGGTGGTCGCCCCCGCCGCTCTCGCTTCCCTCGGGGGACCACTCGACATGTGTTTAATCTCCAGGACTGACGCAGGCCAGACCCTTGAGTGGGCGGCCGCTCAGAAAAAAATGTCCGAGAGCACCCCCTAACAACCTCCATCTACCCTAATTGAAATCTTGACAGAGAGGGCTGAATTGGACTGATTCAGAAAAGGCAAGTGAATAAAGAAAATTAAAAGAGCTTTAAAAGAATGGACTCGCGCGCGCACAAAAGGAAATGGAATAAAAACAATGCGTCCAGGATTCCACGGCGTGGGACTCGCCGCCTTCCGGGGGAGACATCCCAGGCACACGGCGCGAGCAGCGGGTCCGCGGCGCGGCACATGTCCCCGCCGCGGATCCGCCTCTGAGCCTTTGTCTTCCCGGACACACTCAGGTGAATTACGGCCTCTTGGTTATTCACGCGCCGCCTTTATCCTACTCTTGTGCCTAGAAGAATATGAATAAGTGAGATGAAGTATTTAAGTTGGCACGCCGAGTCCGCCCTTTCTAAGGTCCACGTGAGAGAAATGGCTGTGTTCTTTAATGTATGAAGAAAGAAAGAGAGAAAATGGAGATGATTATTTAAGATTAGGAGTACCAGACACAGGGATGATTTGAAAAAGTGGTAAGTAACAAGGGAAATAAATGGATGATAAAATATGAAATATTCAGTTGGATAAGGTGCACCAATATATATTTATCATTCAGACTTAACAACCACATGTCAAACACTACAAATAAATAGTCAATACGCAAAAATACTAATCATTTAGATGAATAAATGAACATGAAGATGACATAATAACAATATAAGAACCGCTACCATGCTAGAAGCTCTACACAGAAAATAATCATCTACATCAGACATGCAACTTGCACCGCAGCAAAATCATCGGCAGAAACCCTCTCGACCTAAATCCTCCTTCAGTAACTCAGCCAAAACATCGTCCGCCTAAAC